TCCTTCTCCGTGAGCAGCAAACTCTGGAGCACCTAGTACAAAAAAAAAGATTTTTGTTTTTGTCTTCAGTAAGACAAATTATTTTACTGAAAAATGCCTGTATTTATCTCATAGAAAAATCTTTGGATCCCTCTTTAAAATTGTTTTGTCAGAATTCACAGATCATTTCAGCTCATAAGCATGTTGTGTTCATTGTGGGGGAGACACTGGTTCTTGTGCTGTGAAATATGAAGTGACCGTCTTTCCACCAAGAGTACGTGTCCCAGTAACAGCCACTAAGGGAAGCAGACGCCTTGGAAAAGCAAGAGACAGCAGCACTTTTCCTAGAGAATATAGGGACCTATGCTGATGGACTTAAAGTATTGTATGGGATGTGATTTGCTGTTATTTCTCTGCTTTTGGTCGTTCAGGCCTTAAGGTATGATTCTCGTAATCATCAGAATGGATTTTTTAATCAGCGACCTTTGGATGTGCAAACTGTCACACTTCATTAATGGGGAAGGAAGGTGGCATGCCGTTAAGCTCGGGTTGTTCCTAAGAGGAATATTTCACGATGATAGCTGCTTGCAGCCTTTCTGTGAGATCCCTGGTGGCCAGCCTCCACCCACAGTAGCTCAATTAAGAGTTTTTTAATGGTACTTTTTGTCAGGACCAGCACAGAGATCAGCCTGTAATTGTACTCTGTGTTGCACAGAAAAATAAGGGCATGGCTCTTGAGATGCTAAACTCTTCATACTTCAAAAGACAATGATTTATAGGCACCAAGTTCATGATCGTAGCTGTACCTTGGAAATGATACAAAAGTTCCTAAAAATAGCATCATAAATGAGGTTGCCACTTAAAATCTGTGTTTATCTGACACACTCAATTAAAAATAAGCAACAATGGCAGGATGGGGAAATGTAGAAAGAGTCGATTCGGTGAGCCAGATGTCCTCAGGCTTTAACTGAACACTGTTTAAGTACAAATAACAATGTCCACTAATGAGTAATAGTTATAAAGGATGCACTTACAGGATCATTCAAGATTATCAACTGTTATCAGACAAAAGGAAACATTTATACTGGAGATAATATCTGGAAAATATCTTGCCATTTCCAAAAGGTAGACTGTCAAACTTTGTAATATAAAATGACTTCAGTTTCATCAGGACTAACCCTCCAGTATCCAGCCTTCTCGGTGACTGATCTCAAACAATAGAGGTTAACGTGCATCAGCCAGGCCTTAGGTTTGTTTAAAAGCCATCCTTTATATAGTAAAACTGTTGTCAAACAAGGTTGTAATTTAAACACCCCCTCCCGCAAAACACAGACGTTAAATTGTGCAAGAGGTGTACATTCCAGAATTAATTCCTGCTGGATCTCAAAACTATTTTAAGCTAAAGAGTTCTGAAGGTGTCACTTACCAAGCACTCTCAAACTCAGAGCCAACAAAAGTGCCCTCATTTCCAGGCTTTACAAAAGCCCCTTCTCTCTCCCTTTTTCTTTTTAGAGATGGAGGTCTTTCTCTACCACCCACCCTGGAGTGCAGTGATATAATCATAGCTCACTGCAGCTGACTCCTCAAACCATCTTCCTCCCTAAGCCTCCTGTGTAGTGAGAACTATAGGCTTGTGCCACTGAGCCTCGGTATGGCCCCTTGTCTTACTTAGAAACCTCAAATGCAAGAAATACTCTTGTTACTAGTAAAAACAAACTGCTTTTCCCCCCTCTTTCGGTATGGTACAAAATTAATAAAATTGCCAAGACTCTGGTGTGACTTTGTGTTCTTTTTAGGGGCTTGTTCAGGAAACCCAGCTCAAAGTTCCAAAGGAGAGAAACGACTGCCCTCTTGTGGGGACGGCTGTCACTGCTTCTATCAGAGACACTAACAAGCTAACAGCCCACAGGTGGAGTCTCAACCTCCGTCCAGGTGTCTGGTGAGGGTCCGGGTACCTAATGGAATCAGCATCAACCACCCCGTCTGAGTTTGGTTCAACGTAACAGCTCACCAGGTATCACATACAAAGCACTGAAATTGCTTATAAAAGTCTATCTACTGGGTGGCACCTGTGGCTCAAAGGAGTAGGGTGCCAGCCTCATATGCCGGAGGCGGCGGGTTCAAACCCAGCCTCAACCAAAAACTGCAAAAAAAAAAAAAAAGTCTATCTACTTACAAGTTTTAAACTGTGTTTAGATACAAGCTGGCTTTGCATTTTCCCTTTTTAAAATATTATCTGTTCTTTACATTTAAAAGTTTTTCATTTTAGTAAAGTAGACATAACAAATTTATTCATTTCAACAATTCGTAATTTCGGTGGTATTAGATATATTTCTATTGTTGTGCGACCTTCACTACCATCCGTCCCCACTCTTCATCTCGAGAAACTGAAACTCTGTACCCGTTAAACACTAGCTCCCCATCCCCTTCTCCCCCCAGCCCCTGGAAACTACCATTCTTCTTTCTGTCTCTATGAATCTATTAATAACTACTGCTTAAGATAAATGGAATCGCACAGGGTTTGTCCCTTAGGGACCAGCTCACTTCACCCAGGCTGCAGCCTGTATTTTAAGGCTGAATCACATTCCACTGTATGTATATACCACGTCTCGTTTGTCCTTTCACCCTTCGCTGGTGCGTGGGTTGTTCCCACCCTTCAGCTCAGGGGTCCTCAAACTTTTTAAACAGGGGGCCAGTTCACTGTCCCTCAGACCCTTGGAGGGCCGGACTGCGGGCCCAGGATGAGTCAGCTGCTAAGCAGGACAGGCAGTGCCGGCAAAAACACCCGGCGGGCTGGATAAATGTCCTCGGCTGGCCGCCTGTGGCCCGCAGGCCATAGTTAGAGGACCCCTGGTTTAGCTGCTTTGAATGCTGCTGCTCTAAACACAGGTGTGGAAATACTCCTTGGAGACCCGACTTTCAGTCCTGGGTGTGCAGCATATCCAGAAACGATGGATTGATGGATCGTATAATAATTCCAGTTCACATTTTTGGAGGAACTGCCGTCCTGTTTTCCACACTCCCTGTTTCACATTCCCACCAGCAGCGCACAGGGGTTCCAGTTCTCCACATTGTCTCCAGACACAGAAGACCTTTTTAAGGACCGTTACTGACACATAACAAAGATGGCGATTTCAAATCATTTCATTTTATTAAGTAACATAAAACATCTTTAAACAACAGTTGAAAAAAGAAGAAACTATCACGAAAGTTCAAACAGTTACAAAGACAGCAGAGGACAGACCATTGTTTAAGTCTCATGACATGAACTGAATTAATGTGCAGGCACAGAGAGCGCCCAGCGCCTCTCCCGCCGGCCCCTTCTGCTGGGAAGTCAGCGCCACATGGTCACACTGTTTGGGGCCTCTGAGCTTGGGATGTTTTAATAACAGATCAACATTTTGAGAATTTGCATTTAGGGCCTATCAATGACTGTGAACCATGAGGGTACAGGGAGGTTCTCAGCAAAAGCAGCTGCTGAGCCAACAGAGGAAAAATCTGGTTCCGTGTAAAGATAAGGACTAACCTTTAGCGCTAACGAGGTATTTCTGATGCAGCTCGAGGGCGCGGAAAATCTCCTCGGTTGGCAAAAGAGAAATAGTCACTCATCCCTGGTGTTATGAAAAAGTACAAATTCTTTACCGGTCCACATTTTTATTACCCAAATTTTATTTCTTCTTACTCTGCCAATTATTTTAGCAAACTATAAACAAAGAAAAGGTTTTAGCAGAAAAGGGTTATGAACTGAAATAAGTGGTAATAGAATGTCACGGGAACAATTTCCAAACCCATCAAGGGACATAAATGAAGAGACAGTATGAAATCCAGGGACAGTGAACACCGCTCAGGAGATGGGTACACGGACAGCCCTGGCTGAAGTATTACAAAAGCTAGCCACACAACGAAAACATTTGCATGCCCTTAATATTTTGAAATAAATTTTAAAAAGAAATAGAGGGGGTGGTGCCTGTGGCTCAGAGGAGTAGGGTGCTGGCCCCATATGCCGGAGGTGGTGGGTTCAAACCAAGCCCCGGCCAAAAACTGCAAAAAAAAAAAGAAAGAAAGAAAGAAAGAAAAGAAATAGAGAACACAAAATTAAAAAAAAATTTTTTTTTGAGACAGGAGCCTCAAGCTGTCCCCCTGGGTAGAGTGCAGTGGCATCTCAGCTCACAGCAACCTCCAACTCCTGGGCCCAAGCGAGTCTCCTGCCTCTGCCTCCCAAGTAGCTGGGACCACAGGCGCCCTCCACAACGCCTGGCTATTTTTTGGTTGCAGCTGTCATTGTTGTTTGGCGGGCCCGGGCTGGATTCGAACCCGCCACCTTGGGTGTACATGGCTGGCGCCTTAGCCACTTGAGCCACAGGCACCGAGCCAAAATTTAAAAATTTAAAGGGGAACCTTGCTCCCATACTAAAGTAAGATAGATTACTCAAAAAACAAAACCAAAACAAAGTAGATTACTCATCATGCTCTAGTCTAATCTAGTATTTCATTTTCAACTCAGTTTTATAATGTTTATATCTTTTTGGTTGAATCTGCAACTAATTAAAAGCATTACAGTAACTCTAAATTTTTATGAACAATTCATTTGTATGAAAAAGAATATAAAATCAGTCTTTCATGTCAAAACAGCGTAACATTAAAAACGTCACAGGTGTAATTCAACATGAAAATTTCCACCCTTGCTGGCTGGAGCACTCCCTGGCCCAAACTGCTATTGAAATAACTATTATCCAAAAATCATTACTTTTTCATTGTGGGCCACCTTGCTAATATCAAGTGAATGAATTCATAGGTTTGAGGGGCTACCCTCTGACTCAAGTTTTAAGTTTTTTTTAAATAAAAAACAGACAATGTATTTCGAAGTATTCAGTTAAAAAATAAGTAAACAATTTTAGGCATTAAGAACTTTGAAAACATTTTGATCATCTATTGTCATGAACTTCACTGGTTCAAAAGAAAGTGCTCAAAATTTTGAACTTGCATCAAGAGTTAGAGGCCATGAAAACGGGGTCACGTTGTCACTTATCCATCAGGTTCAGGATCATCTCACAGGTCATGTCCTCATCCATGTCCTCGCTACCAGCTGTGGCTTCTCTGAAGCTGACGAGAGCCATCTCGTCTGGGAACTGTCCTCCGCTCATGGTGGACACCTCCTCAATGGCAGTTTCTTGGGAAAAAGGCAAGAGTGAGAACATTTAACAGAAAGGCAAGAAGTTGTAATTGACAAATGGTGCAAAAATATTTTAGAAAGAATCCCTTTAAATTTTAGCCCAGCGGCAAGGCACGTTCGAAGACAAATCTCTAATTCAGTGACTTTCAACCATTCTGCCACGAGAGGATCTTAGGTGTGCCATGCTCTTTTTAAAGATCATTAAATTATTTTCAAAAGAAGTTCAAAATACAGTAAGTACATGCTTTTAAAAAAATCTTTTCTTTGATCAACATAATTGAATTTTAACTATTGGTTCAACTGTGCCATGGGGAAAAAACTTTGAAAAGCACAGCTCTAATTGGTAGGACAGTGCAAATATTCTGATCTCCACTCTCTGCCTCAGGTCAGGGCCTCTCAGCCCAGCACTACAGACATGTGGAGCCACAGAGCTCTGCTGGTGGGGTGTCCTGGGCACTGCAGATGTCAGCCGGGACCCCGCCTTTCCCCATTAGATGTCAGTGGCGCCCTCTTCTGGTGTAATCACCAAAAAAAAAAAAGTCTCCAGGTGTTCCCACATGTCCCTCAAGGGAGGGTTTGGTGCAGGCAGGGAACAAAACCATGCCCCAGTGGGAACCTGGAATTGCTGAGAGCTGAACATGGATCTTACAGACCGAAACTGTGTGCCCGAGGAATGACAACGCCAGAATGAAAAATGCCAGCTGCTGGCAGGGCACGTGTCCCTTCAGCCATCACCATATACCAAGTACTGATTCTGGGGCAAGTGAGCCACCCCCAGGATGAAACGAGGTCATAACCTGTGCACCCTCCAACAGCTTATGAGCTGTGAGCCCGACTTTGAGAGTTTGAAACAGATCCCCACAAACCAAGCCAGATCCAACCCTCTACTCATTTTCCAAATGAATTCCACACACACCGCAGAATGTCACCCTTAAGGACCCTATTGCCTCCTATTGGCTCTAAGTTGTCTGAAGATATTTTTGCCTGTGCTTCCTTTTTGTATTTTTTGAGGGGATGCAGGACGGCAGTATGGCCCAGTTCTCATGTATGAAAATAAAAACTGACATTGAAATCACAAAACCGGTACGGTCAGACGGTAAGCTGTGGAGATCGAGTTAAGAACGGTGAGGCAGCAGTGCTGTCTCTCCAGCACGCAGAAGGGAAACCACAGCCTGGACACCCCAGGTTACAAAAGCTTGAGTGCAAATTACATCACTGTTTTCTAACAGACTTCGGGTTACATGCCCTTACTCATGCTTTGCCTCGGAGACAGCACCCGACTGCTGAAACGATGAAAAAAATTGAGTGTCCAACTTCATCAGCATCAGATTTTAAATCTGCAAGGGCGGTCTCACTGCTGCCTACCTGGAATGTGGACAAGCAGCGTCCCCAGGTGGCCCTCTCATGATTTCCTCTAAATCAGTGGTTCTCAACCTGTGGGTCGTGACCCCTTTTTTCCATTTGTAACAACACGGCAATTAGAAGGTTGAGAACCACTGATCTAAATGATGCGCCCGTCCCAGAAACGATCATAAGTGACAGGAGAGGAGAGAGACATCAGAGAGACATGGGACACCTTTCATCTCTGCTTATTTCAATAAACGTCCAGGAAGCCTGGTTAGGAGCTTTCAGCTCAGGACTGACAGGGCAAGCTGCTCCTTCCAACAGCTGCTGGGAGCCCGGGGTGGAAGCCAGTGTGTTTTCCTGTCCCCAGCTCTTCCCCACAGAAAAAAGCTGCTGACAGAGGGTGACATTTTCATAAGTCATCCAAAACATTTGGTCTTCTAGGGGTTTTGTTTAACAGATAATTTTAAAAAATTCTACATTTAGGTGTCAAGAGGGGGAGAACTACAAAAGTGCCCTTCAGACGCCTAATTAGGTTCACATTTTTCTATGAACATTCCAGGATCTGTCCTAAACTTAGAGCCTGGGGTCCCAGTGACAGGCCTTGTGATCTACAATGATGGTTGAAGGACTGTCAGATTTCACCAGTCTGTCTCCTCCAATAAAGGACTGTGCTTAATACTCACTGGTTTATTCAATCAGTGGCAAATTGATGAATACCAGTTAATGACAGGTGCTGAGGGCCTGTCCTGTAGGAGAGACCCAGGTGGGCCTGCTCAGAGGAGAGAACAGTCTCCTGGGAGACCAGCACTTGGGAGCACCTGTGAGTGGGCTGAGTGGGACAGAGTCAGAGCTCCTGGGACCTCTGGTGAGTGCCTTTCACCAGGAGTTCCAGGCACAGAAAGGGTGAGCCTGGCCTGGCCTGGGGACAGAGCAGGCCCAGCAGGGCCAGGTGCAGAATGGGTGGGGCAGGCTGGCCATTTTTGGTGTCCTGGTTTTTAGAGTACTGGGTGGCCATGAAAGGGGCTGTTGCAGGAGGTCAGAGCGGAGAGGCTCCGTGGGCACACCTGAAAGGTCCCTTGGTGGCTCAGGAAAGGCGCCGAGAGACAGTGCCCTGGACTCTGGTGGAGACAGGGGTGGACTTAGGATGGCAGAAGTTGACATCGCAGGTGAGGTGACTTTCAGATATCACCAGGCAAAAGGGAGCATTCAGTGTGAGTGGTGGGCCTTCCAGGGCCAAACCGTGTGGGCCAAGTTTGCAGAGGAATAGGCTGAGGGTGGGAGGGCTGGTGGAGGGGTGACAGCTAGAGTTCAGTCTGGGACTGGGCAGCTGGTGGGGAGGAGCTCACCATGGCAGTGACCATCCATACCCTGTCCTCAGGTAGGCGGGGAAGGAGCCTCAGATCACCACAATCCGCCCATCGGAGAGCGTGACAGCTGAAACTACAGGAGGGGTCCGGGTGTTGGTGGGGGTGTGGGCTCAGGTGTGGGTGTGGGAGCAGGTGTGAGAGCGGTGTGGGCATGATACAAGGTGTGGGAGGGGGTGTGGGTGTGGGAGCTGATGCGGGAGCTATGCGGGCATCGGAGCCAGTGGGGGTGTGGGAACAGCTGTAGGCACATGTGGGGGGCATGGGAGTAGAGGAAGGCACCATTTGGGGCTCAGTATGGGCCTGGCCTTGGGTGCAGGTGCTGGTATGGGCTCAGGGATGGGTGGGGATTCTGGCATAGACTGGTCACCTATGGATACTGGGCCTCCTGCAGAGGCAGGAGTTGAGGAGCCAGAGCTGTGGTGGAGGCAGAGGGCAGCTGGCCAGGCCAGGAGACTCCAGGCCCGTGTGTGGGTGATGTGGAGGAGGACTTGGGAAGGAGGATGGTCAGTCATGTGTCGGGTGGCAGAGAGCAGGGAAAGGTCAGTGGATCGTAGTGACAAGGAGCCTCTGGTGACCTCAGGTGACTGACGGAGACAGAAGAGAAGTGACCCAGAGCACAGGTGAGGCTGGGGATGAGCCCTAGTGCCCGAGAGGTCAGCAGGTACCAGGCAGAATAGAGGCCTGGGAGGGCTTTTGTTTTTTCTGAAGACATGAACATATTTAAGGGTGGTGGGAAAGACAAGGCCAAGAGGGCAAAATTGGGGGTGTTGGGGAGAGAGGGAGGGCGAGGAGGAAGAGTCCAGAGTCTGATGGGGCCTCAGATGGGAAGGCCGGCTCTTTCTCCATTAAAAATATGAAAAATGTTATTTGATATCATTGGTATAAAATCAAATATAGGGCGGTGCCTGTGGCTCAAGGAGTAGGACTCCAGCCCCATATGCTGGAGGTGGTGGGTTCCAACCCAGCCCTGGCCAAAACTACAAAAACAAACAAACAAACGTAGTCCAGGCTGGAGTCATGATACCCATCACTGTACCAGGCTGGAGTCATGATGCCTGTCACTGTACCAGGCTGGAGTCCTCATGCCTGTCACTGTACCATACACTTTTCTTCTGCTCTGACCAGAGAGTGCTGTGGCTGGCTCTGGGGACACCTGGGCCCTGAGGGTGGGGTGCAGCAGGAGCTGGGAGTGTGGAGCAGAAGGTGCTGGAAACCAGCAGAAGGCACCATGCAGTTCAGCTCCCTCCCCAAGGGCTGCAGTCAGGTAAAGGGGACCTGTGTGGGCCAGGTGGTTCCCCAAGCGATGGTGCCCTGACGGGGGGACCTCCAGGGTCCTGGCTGCAAGGAGAGGTCCAGGACCCAGATGGGTGGGACATGGAGACAGGGAGGGTGTACAGCACACTGACAGTGATGGTGACTCTGCACCGTGGCCAGGGGAGGGAAGGACCGCAAGATGCTGCTTCCGTTAGAGGTTCAGACAACTGATGACCTTGTGTTTTAGTATAAGTACACCCCAAATAGTACGTGGGATACACTTACACTAAACAGTTATTCAATGTTTATCTGAAATTCGGATTTACTCGAGCACCCTGTTTGATCTGGCAGCTCTGAAGGAAGGCAGTGGGAAGGATGACAGCTGTCTGCGGGAACGTTCCCAAGTGCAGGGTGGAGGGTGGAATCATGGGACAGCCAGAGAGCCATGATGTGCTCTTGCTGTAAGGCGCTGGGCTCCCAATCATCTCGACAGCCCCCAGGTCCTCGCAGGGAAGGAACAGAGCAGAGCCATCGCAGGGCACACAGGGAGGGCAAATCTGCACCAGCGTGGGGGACCCTTGTTGGCTCCCTGAGGCCAGAAGATAAAGACCATGAAGCATTTTAGGATGGTGGCTCCAAAAAGGATGTGTCCCTGTCCTAACCCCCCCCACCTGCAAATGTGACCTTCTTTGAAAAAAGAGGAACTCTGCAGATACAATTAATAAGGTCATGCTGGACTTCCCAAAGAAGCTCCAAGTCCAGTGACGAGCATTTCTGTCAGAGACAGAAAAAAAAGACCCAGAAGAGAGGAGAAGGCCATGTGAAGATGGGGCCCAGGCTGGAGTGAAGTGGCCACAAGGCAGGAACACTGGGGCCACCATCGCTAAAAGCAGCCAGGACAGAGCCTCCCATGGAAGCCCTGAGGGAGTGTGGCCCTGCCCACACCCTGCCTGGGGACGGCCGGCCTCTAGAGCTATGAGATAATTCACTTCTGTTGCTCTAAGTCACCCAGTTGGTGGTCATTTACTGAGGCAGCCCCAGGCCAGTCCCTTAGGTGCAGGCAACAGTCCAGCCTGACGGAAGAGAGCTCTGAGGACAAGGACAGCAGGGTGCGTGTGCCGTGTGAACACGAGGAACCCACGGTACAGGGGTCAGCCCCAGCCCGGGCTTTCACGCTGACTTTCCACATTGTCCATCCTCCCTGCAGTCCTGAGGGGCAGCTGAGCAATCACGCCTACCTCACTGATCACCCAAACCCACCCACGTGGCAGGAAGCGGCTGCAGCGCTGGGCCTCGGGCTGGGCCTGTCCAGGGCTGGCACACGAGGCGCCTCGAGGGACTAACCAGCGAGGGTTTCTGGACGCAGCCCTGTGCAGTCCCTTCTAGCACCTGGACATTTGCAAACTAGACAAGCACCGTGAAGCTACAAAGGCATTTGTCTAACGAGGTACCTTCCTCCTTTACCGCCTCCTTCAGGACTGCGCTTCTCTTTGTTCTTCCTTTTCCTGAGGTGGACGACTTCTCCCCGGCATCACAGTTCCTTAAATGTCTGTGCATGTTATTCTGTTGAAGGGATGACACAGAACAAGCAAGTGTCAGTCTCACCAAACGCATTTTAAAATGCATGGCTCGGGAGACAGGCTTTGGGCAGGCGCAGGTGACAGGTCCCTTTTATAATCTCGTACAGAGAAAGACGACCTTTACAGGTGACCCGCTCTGTTCTGTTTGGGTCTAGCCCAAGGCAATGTTGCTTTACATTTTTTTTTTTATAACAGAGATCAGTGAGAAACAGAATTAATATTTTTAGAATGCTTCTCTCTAAAGGGAAAATTGATGTTGAACCTAGAAATTTAATACATCAGTCAATTTTATGATGGTTGACAATGTATCATAAAGATTTCCCTCCCCTGCCAGCGTCTCTCCCAAAGCTGCTGGGCAGAGGTCACGGGTGGCAGTTATTAAACTGTATATGACATTCAGGATGACAAGTTAAAGAGCTGCTAGTCAGGCCTACCAGTGACAGATCCTTACATAATGAACACTTAGGACAACTTAAGTTAGAGAGAGTTCACTACTTGGAAAGTTCACATGCGAAAGTAAAAAACTGGCGATGTGCCTTTAAATTTGCTGACTGTGTAAATGTCCTGTCTAATTTCCATCGGACTTAAGAGCTGTGCTTAACAGGACTGTCCTGGTTTATGGACGGAAGGAGGAAGAATTTACATACAAGGTTATTAAACTTCTATTTTTTTTTTTTTTTTTTTTGAGACGGAGCCTCAAGCTATCCCCCTGGGTAGAGTGCCATGACATCATGCTCACAGCAACCTCCAACTCCTGGGCTCAGGCGAGTCTCCTGCCTCAGCCTCCCAAGTAGCAGGGACCACAGGCGCCCGCCACAACGCCTGGCCATTTTTTGGTTGCCACCATCGTTGTTGTTTGGCGAGCCCGGGCTGGGGATTCAAACCCGCCACCTTAGGTGTATGTGGCTGGCGCCTTAGCCGCTTGAGCCACAGGCGCCGAGCCCTAATTTATGCTTATACATAAGGGGTGGCGAACTATGGTCAGAAGGTCAAATCTGGCCCTCCAACTGCTTCTGCAGACCAAGTCGGAGGGGACCACGGCCGTGCCTGTTCCTTACAGATGGTTCTCCCAGGCTACTTTTGTGGCACAACAGCAGATTTAAGAAGTTGTGGCAGAAACCATGGCCTGAGAAGCTGAAAATATTTACTATTGGCTCTTTACAGAAACAGCTTGCTGACCTCTGGGTCATTATGAAAGTTTTGAGATACACAAAAATCAAGAAACATAAAATCCACGCACTCAGAAACAAATGAAGCCCTCCCAGCAACACGGATAAACCGTGCAAGTTGAGACTTGCTCAGGGGAATCACCAAGGAAGGACGCTGCCACGGTGCTTCTTGGAAGTGAAATCACGGACCATAACACAGTCTGTCTCAAAACCTTCGTAATGACCCCACGTATAACTTCATAAGGGGAATACTTGGAAGGGGTCGGCAGTGATATTTAGCAATGAGGTATGCAGCACTTTTCCCAGAATGAGTTTGCAAATGTAACTGTCAGCCCTCCATATGTCTTTTTTGGAGACACGTCTGTTTAGATACGTGTGTTTTCAATTGGGTATTTATTACTGAGTTGTAAGAGTTCTTTATGTATTCTAGACACAAGTCCAAGTACGCTTGCTTTCTTAACTAGAAGGAAAGTCTCTATAATTTTATGTTCTGAGAGACGGCCCGAGGCCGACTTGTTCTTTTCTCTGCGTTCCTGTTTCTCACACCAGGGGGTGGTTTCTGCTCTGCAGAATTCTCCTCTTCAATCTTAACTCTTTTAACACAAGGTGATACTATTGTGTGAGCAGCGCATCCACTTTTATTTGAAAGTCTGAACCAACAGTGTTAACATTCCAGAACTCTCAAACAGTGGGCTACTCACAAAAACACAACTCCCCTATCATTTTCTTTTAAGGGAAAAAAAATAAAAATTTCCCCCACAAAAACAGTCAACTTTAGAACATTTAAATATAAAGTTGGGCCAGAGTATATACTGTCCAGGGGTCTAGTTAGCCATCTCTGGTGGTTTGAAAAGGTTTAAAATTTCTTTGATCCTATTCTTTTCAAAAGGTACTTCATTTCCCACCACTTGTGTGTAGGCTGGACTCAGGGATTCATTTCCAGTGAACAGAAGCACTGTGACCCCACTTTTTTTTTTTTGTAGAGACAGAATCTCACTTTATTGCCCTCAGTACAGTGCTGTGTCATCACAGCTCATAGCAACCTCCAACTCGTGGGTTTAGGCAATTTTCCTGCCTCAGCCTCCCAAGTAGCTGGGACTACAGGCACCACCACAACGCCCGGCTATTTTTTTGTTGTAGTTCAGCCAGGCCCAGGTTTGAACCCACCACCCTCGGTATATGGGGCTGGCACCCTACTCACTAAGCCACAGGTGCTGCCCCTGTGATGCCACTTTTAAGACTGGACTGCAGAAGGTACCATGCCTGTGCTCGCTCCCTTTCTCTGGGTCATGAGGCCACTCAAGCAGGTCCAGCGGAGAGGTCCCTGGGGCCAGGAGCTGAAGCCTCCTGCCAACAGCCACGTGGGGCGCTGCCCTTGGAAGTGGATCCTTCCCCCAGTCCAGCCTTCGGAAAATGCAGCCCCAGCTGACGTTCTGACCACAACCTGACACCAGAGCCACACATCTAAGCCTCTTCCAAATTCCTGACCCCCAGAAAGTGTGAGATGACAAATAACTTGTTTCAAGCTATCACTAAGTGAGTTAAGTTTATATGCAAAAATACATAACTAATACACCACCTAAAAGAATAAAATTGAAGACTACATCCACTGTTTAGCATGAAACCAAGAGCAGTGGTCTAGGCACATCTAAGAAACGTCTGAACATTATATTCTCTCTGTGAAGTAGCCTAAATCTGCTTCACAGGAACAATTTTAAAATGTTACACAAAAAGCCGGCATTCTTTGGCAGGTCTGAGAACTCCCTAAACTACTTGCAAGCTATTATGTGTCAGGCTGTTCTTTTTTAGGGAAGGGGGGAGATCACACTTTCATAAGATTCTACAAGAATTTCATGACTCAAAGAAACTAATAACCACTTCCATAAGGCATGACAGATGCTATCTTAAGCCCTGGCAAGTTTCTAGAACCAGGTTGAAACTCTCCTAGTGTGACACTGCCCTTCTGAGATAGAGGGATATTTCCACGGAGGATTTACTGTGACTTCAATAAGCTTACCCAGCGGGAAAAGCTTTTGCCACACTTGGGACATTCATGAACAGTCGGGATGAAAGTCGAATCGTGGTATTTCTTGAAGTGAACATTTAGCAGTTGCTTCTGTCGGAAACATTTATTGCAGGCAAGGCAGGTGAAGGGTTTCTCTCCAGTGTGGGTGCGGAGGTGAACTCTCATGTGTCGCTCCTGCGAGGGAGAAGCAAGGAAACAGCTTATGTAGTTACCGGATTTTTTTTAGTCTTAGACCCTATGGAGGGTACAATACTTTTTCTCTTCCAAAGATGAGTCCATTCTTAAGGAAAATCACTGCAAAGACGTTCTCAGCAAAGCCCCAATCTCTTAGTGGACAGCCACCTATGAAATGAATTTGTATTTAGTACCAGCAAGTGACAAAGTTCTCTCGATTGATTAATTCCTTGCTGGTTCTCTAGTCCTATGCGGGGAGGATGTGATAACACTGCCTTGGGGGTGGAGCAATGATCACTTTTCCTTTCCAAAAGAGGTCACGTATTTGCAGACCTACTTCTGTACAATCATTTACGATGATTTGAGTTTGCAAAAGGTAAACAGAACCTGCTTACTTAAAAATCTAATTTTACGGTTTAAACTCACCAGACGTTTGGGATGGGAAGTATGTTAAATGCCTGAATATTTTTTCTCCCATTTCCCAATAGTGTTACAACAAATCTTGACACGGATTGCAAAATGTTAATGGGGAAAATAATTGTTCTTAGCAAAGAAATGCCATAAATTTTTTTTTTGGCTGGGGCTGGGTCTGAACCCACCACCTCTGGCATATGGGGCTGGCGCCCTACTCCTCTGAGCCACAGGTGCCGCCCCAGAAATGCCATAAATTTTAACTAAGACTTACAGGAGTAAACAATTGGGAAACCAGCAACAAGAATGCTTGACTTTGTACTTATTTTATTTGTTTGATTTAAATGCTATGGTTACTCAGCCTAAGTACCTATTTGGTGACTTCTGCCTTAATGTGAATAACCTAATTGATGGTCTTTCTTCCAATCTTTCATCCAATTCACTGAACACCCTTTTCCTCCCACGTCTTTCATCTCCTCGCCTCCCCCAGGACAGCATTGCCTGGTCTCCCTGCTGGGAGCCTGGCTCTCCAGGGCAGAAGTCGGTGAGAGCACCCAGCAGAGTCCCGGAGTCTCCACCTGTAGCCAAGGCACACCTGGCTGCTCCCTGCTCCCCTAAACCTGGCATCTTGCCCTCTCCAGAGCCCCTTCCTCTTCTCTAAGTCTCATCCACCTTCCAGGAGGTGCCCTGGTTCATTTTAACAAATTTGAGCCAGGGCCCTTGGAATATTCTGTGTTTAACATCTAAAGGAAAGGGAGACTTCCCATTGGCTCTTCCCCTTTTCCAGAAGCTCTGGGTGCTTTTTACCCCTTCTGCAGTCCTTTCTAATAAAATCCTATCTTACCACTGAAACAAAAATCTAACAGAAAAGCCCCTTTCCCCTTTATTCAGAGCCTTCACTATTTATAGACCACATAATAAGTATCGATTTCCACCTTCGACAAGCAAGAGCACATGAGGCTTCAAGTAGTGGTTTGGTTTTCAAACTTCTGGTCTCAGGACCCGTTATACTCTTAAAAATTACTGTAACTTCCAAAGAGCTTTTGTTTACATGGGTGATATATGCCAATACTTGCTATATTAAAATCAACACTGAGAAATTTTACAATATTTTAAAAATTAAAAAAAATTTTAGCTTAAAAAACCAGCCACCTACCTGTGAGCATATTTCTGTAAACACATACCTGTTTTCAGAAAAATTCCCCCCAAACTAGTACCCGGCTTAGTAGATAAGGTTGCCAGTTAAAACATAAACTGCAATGTTTGGGACATACTTATACACAAAACTGTTTGCTGCTTAGCTGAAATTCAAACTTAACCAGGTGTCTGGTGTTTTTTACTTGCTAAGTCTGGCAATCCTATGAAAAGAATTCAGGTAGAATCCCCTCTCCCCTCAGTCAGCTGGGGTATGATAAAGAAAATCTGGGCCATGTGTGGTGGCTCACACCTGTAATCCCAGCACTCTGGGAGGCCGAGGTGGGTGGAGTGCTTGAGCTCAGGAGTTCAAGATCAGCCTGAGCAAGAGCGAGACCTCCTCCTCCCCCTGTCTCTAAACAATAACCAGGCATTGTGCAGGTGCCTGTAGTCCCAGCTACTTAGAAGACTGAGGCAAGAGGACCACTTGAGCCCAAGAGTTTGAGGTTGCTATGAGCTGTGACACCACAGCACTCTACCCAGGGACAAAGTGAGACTCTGTCTCAAAAAGAAAATCTGGTCTTTTATATATGTAGGCAAAAAAGGGAATAGAATTTTAATAGCTTTTCCAAATCATTGTGCAAATTCTTCTTTGCTATTACACAGGAACTCAACGAGTGGTAATTTCTTAAAGGTTGGTTGCGACATGGACTCTGAAACAACCAATGATCCCTGTGTCCTCTGTTTGGTTAAAAATCCACTGGTCTGTGTTTTACTTTGAATGTATCTATTACTCACACATTATTCTGTAACACATTACAGAGTTAACAACTTATACTGCTTCCTCAAGAACCTTTTTTTTTTTTTGAGACAGAGTCTCACCCTGTTGCCCTCTGTAGAGTACTGTGGCATCACAGCTCACAGCAACCTCAAACTCTTGGGCTTAGACAATTCTCTTGCCTCAGCCTCCCGAGTAGCTGGGACTACAGGCGCCCACCACAATACCTGGCTATGTTTTTTGTTGCAGTTTGGCCGGGGCCAGGTTTGAACCTGTTACCCTCAGTGTACGGGGCAGACACCCTACCCACAGGCACAGCCCCCTCAAGGACATTCTTGAGTGAAACGTCCCTTTATTTCTGCCGACCAGTCCTGCACGTGTCACGGCTTTGATCTGCACTACGGCGCCACCATTGCTTTGACCCCTCAAGAGCACATTTCAGTGGAGTGAAAGGGTGAATGACATCTTGGCATGATTATGAAAATGGTTTGAATCTTGTGGGCCCCCAGTTGATTATAAGGACCTCTTAGGGTCTGTGGTTAGCCATTAAGAACTTTGGCTTTAAACGACTGGCTCCCGGCTGCTCTCTGGTTATTCTGTACAGACCTGCCTTTCCCCTGTGTTTTCAGAGACACAATCCCACTCCAGCCCTCCTTCCTTCCAGGTACCACACTGCCTCCCCCAGTCCACTCACACGCAATACCTGCTTGCAGGCGTAACTGCAGTGTTCACACTTGAACCTTTTCTCGTCTTTATGGGTTTTCTGGTGCTGGATGAGGGCGTAGCGTTCGTGGAAGGCAGCAGAACAGTAGCGGCATTTCATCTCCGTGGCATTGTAAGTATGCAAGTTGCGCAGATGGACACCTAGAATGGTCACAGAACATGGTGTAGTTCAACAGCGCTGTTTCCGATAGGCCTGGCCTGTCCTCTCAGTCGGGGTTTCTCGGGCTTGGCAATGCTGACCCCCTGCGGCCTGCTGGCTCCTTCAGGGGTGGCGTGGGGGCATTGCCCCGTGTTTAGCAGCCCCCCTGGTCTCTCCCTACTAGATGCCAGCAGCCCCTCTTCCTCTCTAGTTGTGAAAACCCTAATACCTCCCGATACTGCCGAGTGTCCCCTGGGGTTACAATCACTCCCAGTTGAGGGCTACTGCTCTAAATGATCAGAAACATTCTTCTAACGTCCTTTCGACGTGCAGTTAAATGTTACATAAAGTAGGTCGTATGGGGACCCATATTTTTGCTTAACAAAGCACATTGAGGATCTTACTGTAGGGCAGGTAGATTTTAGGATGTAAAGGTGATTTTCCATAAAAAGACATAACCTCCATATTTTACCTTAAAAATTCTGCATGTGCTGTTAGAAGCCAATGTCCTGCAATTAATATTATTAATAAGTTGAAGCCAACCTGGGGCTTCAGGTATGACCGGGGGTGCTCTCGGGTAATTTCTGTTCATCTAGTTCAATGCTAGTTTGTGCACTTATCTTAAGAGCCCAACAGAGAGTGACAGCTGCGTGATGGAGGCGCCCCGTCCCCGTGGACTTGGACATACAGGAAGGGTGGGTTAGGGTAGTGACAAAGCCTCTACCAGGGGAGGGATGGGTGTGTCCCCTAGCGACATGGGATAGATATAAATTACACTACTTTGCCAGGGTGTCAAAAATGTCTCCTCCCAAATCCCACTGGGCTGTGTTTTGTGGCATGCTGGCATCTATGAACACTGAGAGAATGTTCCAGAAGAAAAGCAAAAGTTAAGACTTCATTGAACACCTTTAACCCTTTCAGAAATTTCTCTGGGAAAACTGGTAAATGTTTGTTTTTGCTAATACATTTTGAGTACCACAATGTCCTGTATTTTGGAAAGAGAGATTAGGTCATGGAAAAGGGGAGGCCCAGGAATCCTGACACAGGATTCACTCACGTCCCCTCCTGGTGAAGACCGGCTGGTTTCCCTGCAGGCAGGTCAAAACCCTACACGGCAGCCCGGCCCTGTGACCAGCAAGGGGGCTCACCCTGAGTTAGACTGCAGGCAGCGGGTCATGGCTCGCCGCCTTCACTGAAGTAAGATCCTCCAAGGGCCAGCTATGCCTGGATTCTTCCTTTTGTACCTCCAGCTCCCACAACTTTAGGTTCAAAGTTAGTGTTTAAGAAAAGCTGGTACAGGCAGTCCCCAAAGTTACAAACATCCAACTTACATAGAACTCGTACTTATGAATGGAAGGTATTACAGTAAGTCCCCGACTTACAAACGTGCGACTGATGTGCAATCCACACTTACAAATGGAGGCTATTAAGGTAATGATAGGCAAATGTATCTGTTCCAACTCCCACACAAATTCAACTTAAGAACAAACCTATAGAACCTATCTCGTTTGTAACCCAGGGACTGACTATATCAGCAGAGAAAGCATGAATGGAGTCAGAGCCTATAAGCAGATTCACCTGCTAGCACCCCAGTCACGTGACCTGGGCAGCTCACTGACTCAGGGCCTCAGTGCCCTCATCTGTAAGAACAAGCCCGGTATGGAGTCAAACGCTGTGAGCTCAGACCAAACCCCGCGCACCATAATGCTGCACTTGTGAGATCCTGTCACTAGATGGCGCCAGAGACCGACAGAAGAAAATTCATCCCAGGGCGCGTCCCCAGCACCCAGGCCCCGGCGCTGGCTGCAGGTTGAAGAGCCACGTTCCAAAGAACCAGCAAATACTGGAGTGAAAGAAAAACCAAACCAGACACTCACGCAGGTCGCTTTTCCTGGCAATGATAGTGGCACAGTGGGGACACTCGTATTTGGGAACGTTCTCGCTGTGCTTCTGCAGAACGTGTATCTTCATGGTCCCACTCTGGGTAAACCGGGCGTGGCAGATGTGGCACTCGTAGGGCTTCTCACCTGTGATGCAGATGCCAAAATGAACCCTGGGAAGTGGCTTCACCCCTCAGGCCCTCGATCCCCCCACCACAGGACAACGGGTGCTGAAAGCCTTTCTTCTGCAAACAGGCCTTCCTTTTCAACCCTTTCTCAAAGCTTTAACCCCAACTCCGAGACTCCCAAGCCAAGCATATGCTAAGTCCGGCTGTGTCCACAATGCCCAAGGTGCGACCTCCCACGTCAGGTGGCTGCCCATCAGCTCAAGGTGGTTTGTAGCCTCGGTGTTGTAGACAGAACCGAGGACACCCGTAAGCTTACTCTTTAGATAACAAAACATAAAGTACGTCTGATACGAAGCCAGGCCACTTCGTTTTATGTTTTGCCTCAGAATTGAACAATGAATTAGGGAGTTAACTTGTAAATACCCGACAACCCGATGGAAGCAAACGTTTCTCACTGCTTATCACAGTGTTTCTGTGGTCACCCTCCCTACAACCGCAAGGGTGTTGAAAAGGCACACAAGCATTGGCTCTTTGTTTTTGCCACTGAAGAGTAACTTTTCTTTTAATTTTTTGAGACAGAGTCTCAGTTGTCCGGGGTAGAGTGCCATGGTGCCATAGCTCACAGCAGCCTCAAACTCCTCGGCTCAAAAGATCCTCTTGCCTCCTGAGTAGCTGGGACTACAGGCGCCTGCCACCAGGCCTGGCTAATTATTCTATTTTTAGTAGAGACAGGGTCTCACTCCTGCTCAGGCTAGTCTCAAATTCCTAAGCTAGGGCGATCCACCTGCCTCGGCCCCAGAGTGCTAGGATTACAGGTGTGAATCACTGCACCTGGCCTGAAGAGCAATTTTAAAAATGAATGAGCCTCCACTCGGCAGGCCTTCCACGAGCCGCCGTTACCTGAGTGCGTCCGCATGTGCCGCTTCAGTTTGTAGGTGTCTTTGCTGGCGTAGCTGCACAGGCAGCACTGGAAGGGCCGCTCCCCGGTGTGTGAGCGGATGTGACGCTTCAGCTTGCTGGCCTGAGAAACAAGCGACATGTGGTCACTGGGACAGAAACTTAAAAGTTGCAGAGTCTTCCATCAATCGGCATTATAAAAGGGATTTTAATTAGTCAGATTTTAACATCAGAGCACCAGCGCACATTACACTCGTTAAAAGACACAAAAAGTCATGACTTTCTACATTCTATTGTAGACTTTTTTCTTAATACTTTTATATAAGTGAACTTGACTTTGTTCTGTTGATTTTTTTTTTTAATTTTTAAAAATCTATTGTTGGGGATTCATTGAGGGTACAAGAAACCAAGTTTCACTGATTGCATTTGTTAGGTAAAGTCCCTCTTATAATCGTGCAAGACACGATTACTGTAAACTTTTTTTTCATTTGCTATGTGTGTATGAGCTCTTTAGGGAGGATACACAGCACGTGGAAGAGATTTTCATTTTCTTTTTTTTTTTTTTTTTTTTTTGAGACAGAGCCTCAAGCTGTCCCCCTGGGTAGGAGATTTTCATTTTCAACCTTAAGTTTACAAAGGCCAAATTGAAATGCAGCTACTCAACGCCATATGAGACTTTATTTTTATTTCTAAGGCAACATGCACAAAGTGTCGACCGCACGGCTGAAGCACAAAGGCCAGAAAAATTCCTAAAATCCTGAAGCTGTAGCTCTTTGACAGAGGGTCATCCATAGGAAGCAGCTCACAGGTTCAAGTCCCGGGGACCCCACTCTGACCAGCCCAGAGTAGTGGCACATGAATGGCCGAAGGCCTCCCTGCCAGTCTGTGTAGGAACCACATATTAGAGGCTGCTTTATAAGAAAGTTTTAAGTAGAAGAAAGTACATTCTGTTTCATTCATTATGTAATCCAGGCAATTAAATAGCAAACAACATATAATACCTCTGCTTTGATCATTCTTCGCCTGTCACTGTCCCCTAGAACTGTTCTTCCTCTGTCCTTGCTTACTGCAGGAAGCAGGACAGCCAGCCACACTCGGACAACAGGGTTAGAAAGCCCATGCCAGTCCTGCTTGTGAGCTCACTGATCTGCGTCCACAGTGACAAGTGCACGGAGCCCTCAAAAATGACCAAGAACAAGGGAAGGCTTAACAGGAAAACGGAGATCTGGACTGAAAGATTTAGCTTAGGGTTTTAGAAGGAAAAGTGGACATCTTCAAGTATATGGAAAGCAAAATGAAAAGAAGTTTTAAAATCATGGTATCAAAGCTTTGAGTAGGGCTGTGGTGTGACTAATAAAAGGCCTGCTGGCAAGACTCGGGACCTGGAAAAACGGGGGCCATGTCGCACCGGGGGGCCCTGTCGCACCGGGGGGTCCTGTGCTATGTCCCACAGGGCTGCGTGCAGACTGCAATGCCGGGGAAGGGTCTCCTTGACCTGGGAAGCTCACGCGGGGAACCGGGAGGACACCAGCAAACGTCCACCTCAGACTTAGGGTTCTCAGGTGGCTTTTCTCTGGGCCCTGGACTTTATGTTTTTACTATAATCACAACCTTTAACTCAGATGAGAAATACTTTTTTAAAAATAGTAGTGATAGAAAAAAAAATTCTTGGAACCAAATTCTGACTGTGTTTGTGCAATTTCCTAATTTATGAAACTCAGTTGCATCATTACTGTAGTTAACCTTTAGCTATTCCCTCTAACTCGGTTCCATTCTAGTGGACTGTTTATCCTGCCCGTCCCCTACCCCCGGCTCAAAACCGGGATCTAGGCTCCTTCCAAGGACCCTCAAAATTAATGTAGAAAACTGGCTTTGAAAAGCAAATGCGGTATCCCACCTTTGCCTCACAGAGGGTACAAATAACACAACCTAGACAAAATGACGAGGACACAGCTGAAGCTTGTAAAGGGTAGTTTCTCTCTGTAGTTAAGAATAGAAATGGCTGTGCTGAAATCTTTAAGCAAATTGCTTTGCATCTGTCAAAATGGCATTGAGTTAAGGTTAAAAATTTCAGCAAAAATTCACATTGGATCTGGGTTCTATGTCGGAGCAAATACATGTTGATGGTGCGGCACTAAATGCCACATAAAATGCAAGGTAGAGCTTTGCCACAAAACTCAGAATGACGTCTTGACCACAAGTCATTTTATTCATGAATTTGTGTACCTTTAGATATTATTTTCAGTAACTAGTGATCAACGAAACAAACAAACAAAATCCAATTTTCTATTTTAACTTTAGAAAACAGAATGTTGTTTTATTACCTGAGTAAATTGCATATGACTAATATCTTTAGTAAAACCTATTTGGAACAGAATCTACCATAGCTACACTTAAGCATAACTTTCAAAACAACTTAAGACTTAATGACACCTCAAGTAGGAGAGAGGACTTACTTCTACACTGGCGTATTTACACATGGAACACTTAAAGGGCTTCTCGTGCGTGTGTTTATAACGCCGGTGTCTCACGAGCTCCCCGCTGGTGACAAATGCCATGTCACAGTCACCACACTTATAGGGCCTGGTTCCTGTAAGATCACATAGATTATACTTTCAAAGCACAAGATTTCACCGCAGAACTTCCAAGGCATTGTTAACTTTTAAGTTATACTCAGTCTCAAAATGCTTTAAAAATCAGGAAAAGGCTCTTTAAGCTATAAACACCATGGGCCTGTGTGAGGGACATCTCCATGGCATTTGGGACTTTTAATGGAAATTCAAGAAAAAAAGACAAGTCAAATCTACAACACTGTATGTGTCTGAAGTAGGAAGGGGCGGGCTCACGACCTCACACGCTCATCTCAGAGGGAGCTTCCCAGGTCGCTGGCTGGGGGCAGCCTCCGGGGTCCGGGGGTGCTACCTGTGTGGGTGTTGATGTGGTTCCTCAGCAGGGTGACAGTACGGAAGGTCTTCAGGCAGAGGTGGCACAGGTGAGGCTTATCATTGGTGTGTGTCTTCAAGTGACGATTGAAACTCGAAACTCTGGCAGAGGTGAACATACAGTGGTCGCAGCAAAAGGTTCTCTTTGCTTCTATGGAAAGGAGAGAGAGTTTATAGACATGTCAAGATCTTTCTTTAGAGGTTCAAGTTGCATTTATGTATAATTTTTTTTTTTTTTTTTTTGAGACAGAGGTCTCACTCTGTCACCCAGGCTAGTGTTGTGGCCTCAGCCTAGCTCACAACAGCCTCAAACTCCTGGGCTCAAGTGATCCTCTGCCTCAGCCTCCTGAGTAGCTGAGACTACAGGTACTCTCCACAACACTTAGCTAATTTTTCTATTTTTAGTACAGACAGTGTCTTGTTCTTGCTCAGGCTGGTCTTGAACTCCTGAGCTCAAGGGATCCTCCTGCCTCAGCCTCAGACTGCTGGGATTACAGGTGTGAGCTACTGTGCCTGGCCACGTCCTTCCTATTCTGGTCCTATCTCCCTCTCTGAGCACGCACCCACCCACCTGGCTCTCTCAGCACAGAGCTCTCTGCTCTCATGTATGAAGCATATACTTCTGAGTTCTGGGCACTGATCACTCCTAACTGCCTGGAGTCAGGATCCTCAACCTCCTTCTCAGCCTCACCCTAAATATATGGGTCACTACAAAAGTTTTGAGGTGGTCTATGTTATTTTACGTCCAAGAAACAGCCAACAGCGTCCTCTCTGATTCACTCCTGCAAGTTTCAACCTGCTCGGCTGATCAGTGTTGCTGGGCGGCTTCACTGGTTTCTATCCATGTAGATTTTACGTCTCTGATTTTCTTGTATCTCACAACTTTCAGAATGACCCATGTGTCACCTCCCTTAGACAGCAGTGCCCACTGACCCCTGAAGGAGGCGTCACTCCTCCTGGGGCTGAAGCACCTGCTTTTACCTCTACCACGGCTCCCCACCTTGTCCTCTTACTCGCCCCTCACCCCCCCCAATAGTCCCCTTGGGCTGCAAACTACAGAACAGAGACCAGGGCTCGGCCTCCAACTAATGTGCACAGTGCTTGGTGGGAACATTTCTCCTGTGCTTTAAAAATGTTTATGTGCAAAATGCACCAACCCCCCCCCCAAAAAAAAACCCCTTGGATTTGATTCCCCATACAGAACATCAGTTTAAAATTTCTCCCATCTCTTGACATTTCAAAAGCAACTAAAAGTCAACCACTTAAAGTCTCAATTACCATCCGTTCCCTGTAAAAAGCGACTGCCGCCCAGTCTCACAGTCCCTTACCCGGGATGAACAGCCTACCCTTTGTCTTTCTCTGAGTTTTTACAGAGTTGGCTTTTTCAACATTTGCTTGACCAGATGCAGATCTATCTTCGTGTTCTTCGAAGTTCACATTCGAAATTGTCAGAACAATTTCATGGCTTCCGTCCTCTCCGGGGCTTGCTTCCACAAAAAAGAACTGATCTTCTGCTCCTTCAGCCGATCCTCCTTCAGCCCGAAGCTGGTCCTCCTCCTCATTTTTCTCAGGCTAGTAAACAAAAATAAATATTCAAGCAAATACACTATTAATTACAATTGGACTAAACTTTTGCCTTGGTGAACCCTAGAATACATCAAGAAAAGCAAAAACTAAAGATTGCGCATTGCCACCAAAAGGTTTAAGCTGTAAATTATTTAGCATGAGGATGGTGGTAGTGAAATAATCCCCCTTAGGGCACCTGCCCCGTATAGAGGAGGTCGTGGGTTCAAACCCAGCCCTGGCCAAAAAAAAAAAAAAAAAAATATTATTTAGCATGAGGATGGTGGTGGTGAAATAATCCCTGTTTTTAAAAAAACACATGCATCCATGGTATTAGTGCGACTTCTAAAATTCTTGAACAACAAAAAAATAAGGTCTCTTAGGATTTTCCTGGGAAGTACAGTATTTTTACTGTGTTTAATTTTAAACTGCAAAATAGTTTGTCTATACAGAATACGATACAAAGGCCAACTTAAAAAAGTAAGCTTTTTTTTCTCATGTAAGAGGTCAGTTTATTAAACCCAGTTGTACCTTAATCAGTCCAGAATTTTCAGCCAGGCTCAGCACTAACTTACTGTCTTCACTGGCCACCAACACGTTCTCCTCCAGAACGTTGAACTCCATCACCTCCATCTCCTGGAGGGAGTACAGCTCTTCTTGGACACTAATGGCCACACACTGCTGCAGGCTCTGTGCAGACTCCTCGCCCAGCCACACCAGCGATGGCAGCTCAGAACTAGCCTGCTGTACCACCATCTGCATCTCTTCTGGGGGCTGTGCGCTCAGCCAGCTGGTCTCCTGCAACCCTGCTTCGTCAGAGACAAGGTGCACCGCCTGCAGGGTCAAGATGTGCTTGTCACCCTCCACCGAAGGGGCAGGCACCAGCTCCAGCTCGTCTTCCGGGATCCTGGCCTGGAGGGCCCCATAAGCACACTCTGCCTCCAGCTCCCTGGGCGTCCCACAATCTTTCAGGATGCACACTCCATCTTCCTCCTCCTCCTCCTCTTCCTCCTGTAGGCCGTTTTCCAGTATCAACTCTGGTTCTTTGATTTTGGTGAATTGCTCAGAAGGAACAGAGGGCTCGGTAGCCACCATGACCTGTTTCGAGAAAGAGGCAAGCAGTCTTCATATGGCCCACTGGGGTTGAGCCTGGCAGGCTTTGGGTTTGAGGGAGGCCTAACAAAGTCTGGCTTCTAAAGGTTCTGGGCCTAGAGGGTCAGGACAATGTTGACCTGGCCTGGGCTTAAATGGGGTGGAGTCTAAGCAGAATTTAGGTAAAAGTGGGATTTTGTTCAAGATTCTAGAACTAACAGGTTTGGGCTTAACAGAATCTTGGCCAGTGCACACTCTTTCCTCACAAGCTCAGGTCTGAGCAGGGTTGGGGCCAGTTCACACTCTTTCCTCACAAAGTTAGACTGAGGAGACTGGGGACGGTTCATACCTTTCCCTCACAAGGTTAGCCAGAGCAGGAATACAGCCAGTGCATAGCCTTTCCTCACAAAGTTAGCCTGAGTAGGTTGGGGCCAATGCATACCCTTTCTTCACAAGGTTACACTAAGCAGGGGTGAGGCTAGTGCACACACTTTCCTCACAAGGTTAACCTGAACAGGTTGGGACCAGTGCACACCCTTTTTTCACAAGGTTACACTGAATAGGGTGAGGCCAGTGCACACTCTTTCCTCACATGGTTAGCCTGGGCAGGTTGGGGCCAGGGCACATTCTTTCCTCACAAAGTTAGACTATGCAGGGGTGAGGCCAGTTCACACTCTTTCCTCACAAGGTTACACTGAGCAGGGTGAGGCCAGTCCACACTCTTTCCTCACATGGTTAGCCTGGGCAGATTGAGGCCAGTGTACACTCTTTCCTTACAAGATTAGCCTGGGCAGTTTGGGGCCAGAGCACACTCTTTCCTCACAAGGCTAGACTGAACAGGGATGAGGCCAGTGTACACTCTTTCCTCACAAGGTTGCCCTGGTGAGGCCAGTGCACACTCTTTCCTCTCAAGGTTAGCCTAGGCAGGTTAGGGCCAGTGCACACTCTTTCCTCACAAGGTTATTCTGAGCAGGGGTGAGGCCAGTTCACACTCTTTCCTCACAAGGTTAGCCTGGGCAGGTTGGGGCCAGTTCACACTCTTTCCTCACAAGGTTACCTTGTGCAGGGGTGAGACCAGTTCACACTCTTTCTTTACAAGGTTACCCTGAGGAGGGATGAGACCAGTGCATGATCTTTCCTCACAAGGTTAAACTGAGTAGGGATGAGGCCAATGCACACTCTTTCCCCACAAGGTTAGCCTGAGCAGTTTGGAGCCAATGCATACCCTTTCCTCATAGGGTTGCACTGAGAAGTTTGGGGCCAGTACACAGCCTTTCCTCACAAGGTTAGCCTGAGCAGTTTGGAGCCAGTGCACACCCTTCCCTCACAAGGTTACCCTGAGCAGGGGTGAGGTCAGTTCACACTCTTTCCTCACAAGGTTACCCTGAGGAGGGATGAGGCCAATGCATAATCTTTCCTCACAAGGTTAGACTGAGCTGGGATAAGGCCAATGCACACCCTTTCCTCACAAGATTAGCCTGAACAGTTTGGAGCCACTGCACACCCTTTCCTCACATGGTTACACTGAGCAGGAGTGAAGCCAATAAACACCCTTTCCTCACAAGATTATCCTGAGTAGGGGTGAGGCCAAGTGCACACTCTTTCCTCACAGGGTTGCACTGAGCAGTTTGGAGCCAGTGCACACCCTTTTCTCACAAGGTTAGCCTGAGCAGGGATGAGGCCAGTGCACACTCTTTCCTCACAAAGTTAGACTGAACAGGGGCAAGGCCAGTGCACACTCTACCCCAGCAAGGTCTGGGCCTGGGCAGCCTTCCCACCATTGCAAATTCTAGATCTAGGACCATTTGAGCCAGACATGCCTTGGGGCCTAGCCTCCTTTAGGCCTCCAAGACCTTGCCAAGTAGATCACCGGCAGTCAGGCACACTCTTTCTGAGGCCTTACAGCGTCCCCTCCTCCCACAGCCTCCTGGGTAGCCCATCCAGTGCCGCCATAGCCCCTACTCCTTTCCCGCCAGCTCCCCACCCCAACCCCCGCCCACGCTCTGCACAGCCTGTGCTGGGGGGAGGGTGGCCAGCATGCCCAGGGCGGGCCCCCTCACCGCAGGAGGCGTGGCCTGGGCACCCGTCCCGCCTCGTCCTGCGTGGACTCCACCTCATGCACCGTGCGCTGCAGCCCACGCCTGCCGCTGGCCTCTAGGTGTGGGTCGAGGGTGGCAGTGCGCAGGCGCAGGCCCAAGTAGCGTGAAAGGGGCGGAGCCAAGTCTGTGGCGGGGTGAGAGTAGGGTAGACGTGTGTAGCGTGAAGCAGAGGGCAGAGGGCCCTGCAGGGGGAACTGAGGGATCTAGGCGGGAAGGGATGGATAGGAGCGCAGGCGGGGAGGCCCTGAAGGGGGCGCTATGGGACCTGGGGGGAGGGGATGACCGGGAGAGGGGAGGGGAGCCCTGATGAGATGGGGTGAGGGTAGGGAGGGGATGACCGGGAGAGGGGAGGGGAGCCCTGATGAGATGGGGTGAGGGTAGGGAGGACGACTGAGGAAGCAGAGGGGTGCCCTGAAGGGAGTGCTGAGCGGAATAAGATGGAGGAGGAGAGGAAGTGGGAGAGAAGAAACGGGAGGCCCTAGAGACTTGGAGTGAGCCATGGATGAGGCAGGGGTGCAGTGGGAGGACTGGGGTGCGGGCAGGTGGACGAGGCGACGGTGGAAGGGGGAGGAGGAGCCATAGGAGGCCTTTGAGACCCGAGGACGAGAGGGCTGGGAGTGTGGGGGGAGGTAACATGGCGGGTAATGGAGTAGGGTAGGACTCCAAGGCTAGTGGGGATTGGGCTTGGAAAATGGGAAACAACAGGAGAAATAGTCAGGTGGTGGCACGGAGCGGGAGCTCTAAGAGGGACTGGTGTGGCGGGGAAGGGGCAGGCTGAAGGGCCCGGCGGTTCTGAGCATGATGGCGGAGAGAGCGCTGAGTTGGGCGGGGCGGCACCACCACGTGCAGCCTCCGAAGCTTCTCCCGCCCTTTTAAAAATTCTCTGGCTGCCCTCTGCTGGGCAGGGTGGAAGGGCCAGGGGGAAGGACAGCTGAGGGAGGAGTGTGGGGAGGACTTCCGGATCCAGAGAAACCACGTTGTTGGGACTGCATCGAAGGCCAGGTGCTCGTCCACTTTAAAATGGTTCATTTTATGTTTTGTGTATTTCAACTCAAATTATTTTTTAGTGAAAAGTGATGATTTTGATAGTCTGCTGAAGAAAGTGGGTGTATACCTCTGAAATACAAAATATGTGCAAATCTGGAAACAATGAATGAATAAAATAATTTGCAGTTCACTGATTTTTTTTTTTTTTTTAGGGCACAGTTATGAAATCCCAGGAAACTATTCTATTTTGTTTTGACTTTTTTCAAAGATAAATAGTGTATTTTTTAGAAATGGGGGCCTTGTTGCCCAGGCTGGAGAGCAGCAGAGTGTTCATAGCTCACTGCAGCCTCCAACTCCTGGGCTCAAGTGATCCTCCCAACTCAGCCTCTTGAGAAACTGAGACCACAGGCACCTACCCTCATGCTTGGCTAATTACACGAAATGTTTAGAGCTGGGGTCGGTCTTGCTGTGTTGCCCAGGCTGGTGTCAAACTCTTAGGTGCAAGTACTCCTCCTGCCCTGGCCTCCCAAAGTGCTGGGATTGCAGGTATGAGCCACAGTGCTTGGCCTTTTAATCAAATTTTTAATGGAATTTTTTTGTTTGCTGTGCAAATATTCTAGGGGGGAAAAAACTTCAAAGGAGAAGGCAGAGTCTTGGAGAAGAGACTGAGATAGGCCTGGAACATGACAGAGGTGATGAAAAACGACCTCCATGAATAAAAGGCTTTCATTTGGCATTCCTTTATTTAAACATGTCTTCCAAAACCAGTGAGAAATTTCCCCCATCCACAGCCAGAGAACTTTCTGTATCTGTAAAAGTGCTTTCCATATGTTTGCCCATTCTCCACAGCCCCTTCTTTGTATCTTATTTGCACACAGTGAGTCCTCAAATATTTCTTTTTTGTTTTCAGCAGTACAAAGGACTGAACTAAATTCAGTTTTAAAGGAAACTCATGTACCAGCAGCAATAGGTTTGTTAGTTAGATTCTTGGCTCACTAGTTTTAACATTGTGTCCGGGGGTTCTATTAGAGTATATGTACTATACAGAGAAGATGAATATTCGAAGGTCATGGGGAAAATAGTGTGTTATAATAACTTCTTTTAGATCATTTAAATGAGTTTTTCTGCTTGAACAATCAGCACCTATTTAGTGCCTTCTCGGGTAATTTTGTGTTATTGCTGTAACACTCATGCAGCTCGAAAGTTTTTCCAGTATTTATATTATAGAATCATGTTTAGAAATTTCAAATACCCATTAAAAGCACATTTTTAAAGGAGCTGTAAGGCCAGTGGGGCAAGGAACATGGAACAGGGACATTAGTTAGATTTGGAGGGGAAAAGACAACAAGACACAGGAGGAGCAGAGAGGGACCTCGGAGGGGAAAGAGAGGACACTGGTGAGGCAGGCCTGCAGGTTTCTAAACTTTGCTCCCTGCCTAAGCCTCCTTGTGCTTTCGGGTGATAACTGGGGGGGAGGCAACTGCTGGATTTCTGGCTCAGAGGACTGTGCAGCTCAGGTGACTTTCAAAAAATCAGAGATGTGGTCCCATTGGTGCCTTGAGAGTGTGGAGCAATTTCTACCAGGTAAACTTTCAATCTCCATGTTTTAGGGGATCCAGATAGATGATACATCACGTTGCTTGCATTTAGTCTCAGGTGCAAAGAAGCATGAACTCCTGGGCCCGCACCCTCCGTGTCCCGTGTGGACTCCTCAGCTTGGCTTCAGTTCCCACCTTATCTGCCCCACACACCTTTCTAGCCATTCCTCCTTCAACACCCTGCCCCTGCTTGGTCCAGACCCATCTCCTAATGATCCCCATTGGCTGTGCTAAATGTAAGGGGACCAAGTGTCTTTTGTTTCTTGTATCCAGAGCTTTGCATGGGGCTTCGCTTTGACCAAGGTAAATGTGACTTCTG